TTATGGAAATAAACCATCGGAATCCATTTAGGTAGATCCACAAAGCATCGCTAGTAGCGAATAATCTTTTCATGGTCGGTGGAGCGCGACGGTCGCCGCCTACGCGCTTAAGCCTTCTCTAGACCTGGGGCAGGCTCTTCAGGTTAACGACTCTGTGTAATTAATGATTCAGCGATTCTGAAAGTAGTGTTATAAAAAGTGACAAGAGTATTGCTTGATTCTGTTGCAGGTTACTTATAAAGGATGTAGTAATAATAATTCTCATAGTCATTATAACATTTTAAACGTTTATAAAAACATGAATATAAATATTCAATAACTTTTTTTTTTGTAGCACAGACATAAACGCAAACGAGCCGGGGGGACTTTTTTATTATACTAGATTTCGGCTGACTTTTACACGATGATTTTACAGGACTTTTATCACTAGGGAGCCGTTTAGTGGGATAAAAAGCTTAAAACTATTGGTACAACAAATTGCATCAAAATTAATTCAGTAAATAACTTTCGCATTCATAATATAATGGGAAGTAAAAAAGCTTAACAAAATTAAAAACTTTACTTATCCAGAAAGGCGGTTAATATTCAAGATACTTCTCTTTGAAGTCGGGAAGAATATTTTTTGGGAAATACGCATATATGTATATAAAATTTAGTATATGTGATTAGAAGCCCACACAGGGTTACATGAGAATACTACTTAAATACAAGTCAAGTTGATAACTTCGTTTTTAAGTTATATGACAAAGTTGTTATCACAATCAACGTTTCGGCAAAACTCTAAATAAAACATTTTCTTTACATATAATCGGTTTTTGGCAAATTTTGCTCCTACTTTTCTAAATAATAAAATTAATTGTTTTTCTTATCATAGTGTAGCAATAAATATTATGACAACTGAATTAACGGATAATCCGATCTGGGTATCACGATGAAGCAGTACTTGGAGTTTGATCATAATGGAGAGAGAATTAAGAGATCTGAATCTCGATACATTATCATTATTACCGTGCGAATTAGCAAATAAAATGTTAATTTCCGAAGTAGCTTCTTTTTAGTTTACATTTTGGTATTTTAGTAATTATGTAATATAAATATAGGTTATAAAGAAAAATGAGCTAATCGTAAATTTTAAAAGTAATCTTTTTACATGTCCATATATATTTTGAACGGAAATGTTCCTTTTGCTAAAAAAACGGAACAGACATTTAAGATTAAATTGTGTGAAAGTGAGAACATTATAAATCGCAACGTTGTCATATCAAGAGTGGGTTAGGTAATTTATTGAAAGGTGCGCATTGAAATCACGTTTATTTGTGCGCACGCGCCGACGACGCGCGACGTCACAAATCATGCTTATCGGTTAGTCTAGACTAGCTCCATTGCCGCCGCAGTATTAAATCTACACAGATCTAGACATACACTTGGTAACTTTGGCGCATTGCACAAAATATACATCTTACTTATTTTCTATAAGAACATCTATACTATAATATAATAATAATAATAATATCGAATAATATCTAAAAGGGAAATATTTGGTGGTTTGTTGTTTTGCATCGAATACGCTCCAAAATCCGAAACAATTAAGTATTATACGCGGGTGGCATAGCCTATAATTTACATAAGTGAAGGCGCTAAAAAATAGCTAGTATCTATATAAACTCGTTCTCAAATTTTGTTCATGGACGTTATTATTACTATTGCACCGAAACAGTTCAGATTTATCATAACACAATGTCAATCTCGTATTATTCGTAACTGTAAAGATATTAATTAAATGTAACAATAACAAAGCTCTTCACAAACGAGGCCAAATTAGTGTCGAAACCCCGTGTACGTTATCTGTAAGGCGATCGCTAATAAGTAATAGAAAAGTTCAAAGTTCTATTAGACTATTAGGTGTGAACTCTAATTGGTACGGCATATCAGCGGGCGATATCGGATAGATTATCACGATGCAAATAGGAACAGAATTAATTAATGAGAATGCATTGGATTGGCCGCGGCGCGCGCGCACGCGTCGGCGGCGGCGCGCGCTCTCGCGGTGACCAATCGCCAGAAGTTGCACGCGCACGTACGCGTCTTTACTAACCTCCTCTAATTGGCACTCGTGTAGGTTGATGAGCTAGTTTGTGCACTAATCTCCCCTCTGATACAATCGCCTTCGTTGACGCACTACGACTACAAAGACTGAATCTTAAGAATCGTTAAGAAATGCACTTTACTTACGCAATAATAAATTAACGTATCCATACTTGAACATGTTATAACTTAAGCAGTTATTTGTACCAAATAAACAAGAATTTGAATGAAGTTAGAAGTATTAATAGGTAGAATATTATTCTTATTAGCTATTAACAATTCTTACATCGTTCGAATTCTCGTCTACTGGTTAAAATATTTAATTGAAGTATGACATTTTATAGATTTTCGATAGACTAGAATAACACTTTAAAACTTAAATATAGAAACTCTGTTTAACCCTTACTGAAGTTTATTTACGAAATGAAATTGTAAACCAACTAACTAGAATACAGTTGAATAACAATGTAAGTATCTATTATAAAAGTACAAACTGGTTTCAATTATCATCAATACGTAATATTGTTGATATCTACAATCGGAATTGTATCTGTATCTTTGACTTATGTAAGAAGTGGTGATCGTATCTTAATTCCAAACATTTCTATAGATAGTGCCAATTGGCAATGGTAAGGAATCTAAACGTTTCAAAAACGTGCACTTGTCTGACAGGGTCAGAGGTTAACGGCTACGATTATTATCTTATTGGACAACTTTCTTATGAGCAAATGACACGATAATGACATTAAGTTCAGATAACCTGAGATAAAATTTATTAGATTACGTTTCGAACTAATAATGTACAAGGAACAACGAGATCTCTTATAGCCTTGACCCAGAAAACTTCAAATGTTAATTACAGCAATTAATTGCCGCCTTTTATCTCTTCGGTGTCATAAAAGACGTGAGCGGGTGTCGAATTATTTTCATTCACTCATTAAAATTAGATATAAATTACTTGAATAGATGCGAAGTTTTTTTTTGTTTATAGCTTGTCTATAAAAGACAAAGAAAAATGCATTTTTATCAAAATCTTCTTTCAATAAGTTTTACCTCGGAATCAGTTAACTAATTACAATATTTTAAAAAATAAAGGCAATTGAGATTCCTTTAAATTAATAAGTAATGAAGCTTCATATACCTAACATGGGTATCCATAATGTCTACATTACTGTACAAAACTTAATGACCATAATACTAAACAAATAATGGAAGGCACGTTAACCGGGCAATAATGATCTCATTAGTTTTACTTTGTTTGAAAGAATGTTACTTGTAAATTAAAAAACAACACTATTACTATTTAAATTTGAAATGAAAAGAAAATAGTTTTCTTTTTAATTAATCAGCATCAAACAGCAAAAGTAAGAGCAATAAATAAATGAGTAGGAGTTGTATATTTTTTTTACAAATTCCTTATTTGTAATTCAATAAATATTAATCTGGATTACTAGGAAGGCATAAGCGGGAGCTGGTGTGACCTGGTGGCCGGCTGACCGCGGCGTCGACCCACATCGGACCGGTGTCTGCTATTGTCTCGATAAGCTGCGTGAAATGATTAGCCATTTATTCACAAATTGTGTATCAATGACTCATAAATCTTATTAGAACGACATTCACAATAAGATGCGCAATGAGAATTTTTATTTAATGATTTTACATTCTTGTATAAGATTCATATCGAATTAATATCTACATTAATTAGAAAAAAAAAAACTGTGAATACTATATGTAAACTTTGCAAGTTAATATGTATATTGTAAATTAAAAATGTAAAATAAATTATGCCGCTATTGTAATTTATTCTTCTCGTTAACATGATTATATTCTATATGCCAGACCATAAAGTGAAAAAACCCATCAAATTTTGTTCAGTATTTTAAAATTACACACTTGATAGATTTTCTATTATACCTACTTTTATATTTAATCTACCATAACTATATAATATACTAAAAGGCCAAATACTATTTTGCATATTTATTTAATAATTGTCACAATCTTTAAGGTTCCGGGGTCGATTCCCGGTCGGGAATATTAGAAACTGAATTATTCTACATTGTCTCCTGTCTGGATGTTGTGGTTGTTTCATATTTCCGTATTACAAGTAGCTAAGGTTACTACTTAACTTGGAATTTGAGTAACGTGTACCTATGTGATAGTTATCTAATACTGTAATGATTACTGGTCAAATGATTACCGCCTATGGTGGAATAGCATCCCTAGTAAAGAATTATTTCAAATTTCAATAAGACAAGCAAACCCACGACCTCTTTGCAGATTCACTTGGCTTATTGTCAGGCCCGGATCTTTAACTGGGGCAGAAATTTCGGTGACGCCTTCCTCCACAACTCCCCCCCCCTTTCCCTCCCCCCAATCATATATAACATAACGTGTATGATGAGATTTCTTTTTTAACTGTAAATAGATATTATATGATGATTTTGGCGCCCTACTGACGCTGGCACCCAGGGCTATTGCCCCAACTAGATCTCTAGATTCGGGCCTGCTTATTGTAAAGTTATTTTTTAAATTACATGAAGGTTTACGCATGAGCACAAAAGCTGTAAATAATTATTCATTATGGTTTACCATCTAAATTATTCTAAATAAATATTATTGGTGTAATCATCTGTGTTACTACTTGTGATAAAAATATCATCTTATTGAGATAGATTTAGAGATAAGTCAGTATTGACGGCAACTATAGTATTAAATAAATCAACATGAATACTTTTTTTATAACTTTTCCTTTGAAATTTAATTCATACGGAACGAGTTTTTATTAATTTGGAACTTAATAGCAATCGGTATTTAATGGCCGTCTATAAGATAACCATTTGATTAAATAAAAGTTACCAGATTAGAGTTTATAATCAAAGATTATCGTAATAGGTATATGGGTAAATTAAAAGGATTCATTTCATTGTATGCATGTTTTATTTTCTGTGTTTATATAAGAGGTAACAGAAAGGAACGCGATACGGCAACCGGCTCTTTATAGCCTCGTGTAGTCTATAATTTATATAATAATAGCGTCTTGTGACTATTATAAATTTTTGACAAATATATTAATCATTTTTTTATAATTAAGGCACTTTGTACATGGCTTAGGATACAATATATAGATTTAATAAGTGTATGACACTCGGCAAATGCCACATGACTAGTGAAGTCGCGGTTGACGCAACTGAAACTTAACACTAATTTATAATGTATGGCTTAGATTCTAAGCAGTATCAAAATGTACATTGTGGTCCCTACATAACGCTTAACATTCTAACATTACACACACAAATTAAAAACTTTTAATCATTTACAAAAATAATTTAGAATTAAATAATTACGACTTAATTTAACAACAGCGAGTGATAGTGTATATCTACATCTAAAGTACGAGATCGTGGATCGTGTGGAACTCAGTCTTTTTAATAGGCATGAATTGTGGCGGCTGGCGGCAGCGGCTGGTGGCCGTGGCTCGTCGGCGGGAGCGCTTCGGGCCGGTACTCATAGGGGCCGCTTCCGGGAGTTCCACATCCACCTTCTAAATGTTTGCTCAACAATGACATTCGTGAGAACGTCTTCCCACAACCCGAGCATGAATACTTCTTAACGTCAGAGTGCGTTTGTAAATGAGCTCTTAGGTTGGACCTATCGGCGAAAGCGCGGCGACAATGGTGGCAGGAAAAGGGTTTCTCTCCCGTGTGAGTACGAATGTGACCCTGTAACAGCCATGGTCGCGAGAAAGCCTTTCCACACAAATGACATTTGCAGGGCAAAGTATGAGTACGAATGTGCATTTTTAGTGCACCCAGAGAGGTGTACACCTTAGCGCAGTATTTACAACTAAAGGATTTTCTTGCGAGGCTACCTTCTGCTGCAGCACAGTGGTATTGCTGGTGTTTCGTGAGTCCAGAATAAGTCGAGTAAGACTTAGCACAATCGGGGCACTGGTAGCGCGGGCGTCGGGGCGCCGATACTGACACTCCAGAGTCTGATGATACTGATCCAGGTGAGCGTAAGTCTTCAGGGCAAGGTGGAGGTGAACAAGATGACGGCGGTGATGCGGGTGAGTAACGGGAGTAGAGTTGTGCATGAGTAGGTGGCGAGAGCGCTGGTGCTGTGGGGTAAAGTTCTTCTAGAGGATAAGGCGCATACAGTGTTGGTATGTATGCATATTGTGGTGTAGGACGGGCTACTTCGGCGGGTGCCGGTTCGAGGCGAGCTCGGCAAGCCGCAAGATATTCTAGTTGATGATGTGACCATTCACGAGGTTCCACTTTAACGGCGGTCGTTGCTACGGGTGATGATGCTTTACTTGGGTAGTTGCCAGTCTTAGACAGATCTTCAGGTTTTGTACTAAGGTTTTCTGGTTCATCATTTTCGTTATTATCTGAGGACAAAACAGATAAAATTTAATAAAATTAACCAAAGAACAATTTGTAGATCATAGGATTTCATCTCGTCATTTTGTCTTTTAATTTATTTCGTAAAATCTCAAAATATATATTATTTTCTAAAAAATAGAATTGCAATAATTTCCACATATTATAATAATTTTTGTTGAAAATTCACATTTCAATTACTGCTCCATATTGTAAAATATGATGATTTAAGGATGACATATTCAAATATAACTAGTAACACATTTAATTAATTTGTATTTGTGTATTAGTAAATTTGTAGTTTTCATTAAATGATCATTATTTAACACTTACAATGATAATCGTTATAAAAGCGCGTAGCAAGGTGGGCGGGGTGCGGCGGCGTAGTGGGCGGTGTCGCCGGTCGCTCCTCCCGCACCAACACTGGCCGCTTCTTCAGCGGACAATGTGCATAATTCTTCGTCATGAATCTAGACGTCTGAGTATCCTCCACAAGCATCTTGCACTAATTCACAAACACTTAAACTTATAGGTTCTAAACTTTAAAAAAAAGTTTTTTAACGTATCACAATTCACTATAGTTTACAGTCCAATCATTGCAAGTTGCGCCGGAGTCGTATTAGAGCGGCGATCGAGACGCGACAGTCGTGTACGCATTGACAGTTCGGTGTCCGTAGTCGGAGTGGTGCGGTGAGGGAAGCGCGCGGCTTATAAGGGCTCCCCGGCGGAGCGGGCCAGGTGGCGGCGGGTAGGCAGCGCACGTGCGCCGTGCCCAATCGGCGGCGGGCGCGGGGTATCGGCCAATAGCGGCGCGGCGGCCGCGCGGGGCGGCAGCGGCACCTGCGCCTCCGCACCCGGCTCGCAGCCTCTCAGTGCTATATGCCCAGCTCCAACACCGCACCGGCCGACACTGACTCTGCCAGCCGACCAATTTTTTTGCTTAAATCTTGGGGTTAAGCACCTTTGAACTGAACCATTGCGTCTTTTTCAAACGGTCTCTTACTTTGTTCAGTCGAGTTATTGTATTCTAAAGTCGATCGGGTCTGGCAGCTGGTAATGATTTTTGTTCATGATATATGGGCATTCAAAAACTTAAATAAACGACGAAATTTCTAAGGAAAAAACTACTTATAACTAAAAGTTGATGATTGAGCTAGTTATATAGTAACTGTGATACATAACCTACTTTCAAATTACTAGGTAACAATTTCTTCTATAATACTTAATACCGGGTATTAGTCGTGATTTTACACTGACCTGCGCCGACGTTTCTTCTATAATGTTTTGAAGTCTGTTTTAAAGAATCGATCAATCGAATATCGAAATATTATGAAATATGAATGTTGTGTATTTGTTACAAATATTAAAGTTCTGTGTGCCTAATTTTTTTTATTATCTGACGAGCCTTTTGAAATATAAAATTTGTTACATCTTCAAAATGATAATAAAATAATCTTTAGTTTACATGTATGTGTATATCAACATACCTATAATAAATACTGCGCATACAAATCGACCTACATTGCAAAAAAGGTATGTTATATGAAACGCGGTGATGACACATTGCTTGTGGGACACGGGTGCTGTTGATTGACCTTGCTCTCAATATCTTCGATGATATCTTTTTATTATAGGTATTTAAAGTTGTTTTGACCATTGAAAAATTCTAATTGCCTATCTTAATTGACTAAATCCTACTTAGATACTCCTAAGAAAATACAACAAAACTAAACGCGGTTATATATTCACTCCAGTCTTTTGAAAATTCCTATTTTATTTTATAAAACATTTAAAAAACCAGTGAGACCAAGTGTACTATCAAATATTTGAAATGGTTATATTGTTAAACTTCAAATAAATTAAAAAATAGATTGCATTCTTAACCAAACACAGATAGATACCTAATAGCGGTTAGTGCAAGAATAGAAATACTCAGGTAGATATTATGCTTTAATACTGAATATCAAGAATAATAATCGACGAGTTTGTGTAACCAGAAATGTCAAAAACCAGTTGTCTGACAAAAAGATTTCCGTGTGTGTATCTAACGAAACAAGGACAGGTCCGGAACCCCTTCCCAACGCGGAAATATAACGTTCAATAAGTTCTTTGTTGTATATTATGCGACCAGAGCTAATTCCCACAGGTCAGGCTGTGCCCTGGGTAAATTAGTAATTCTCACAGGAACGGTAACTACCGTTGTCATTTGCGGAGTACTTACATCTTAGAATAGAACCCGATTATGACTACTCGGTGCCTTAAACAATCCTTATTAATTATTGTTTGTTACTAAGTAATCTATATTGAAGAAATATGCGAGACGAATCATGACGTATCTAAGAATATGTGTTAAGGTCAAAAAATATATGAAGAGAGACTTCAAAACTTTCGGATTTGATTACAACATTAGATTTTTTTGCTAGCAATTATTTTATTGTTGGTGCCGTTCGTTCTGGTTCCCTTCAAGACGCAAGCAATTGCATATTTTACTTATAAGCTAATCTGGCACCGTCTACGGAGACATAATTATGAACATTTCCAATCATATTAGATAAAATCCTGCTTTGAGTTTATTAACTTGAAAATAAAATATATGATATAACAATTTGAAATGCTTCAAAATTCTGAGAATTCCTCGCCATTATTGTTATAAATATAAACAAAGAATTCTTGACATGTATACTTTTAGAGTAGGTATAGTTGTCTGTATAAGTCTTCCCGACAAGTTCAACGGTCATATTTCTCATCCGCATCACGATGACAAGAATTGCAAGCGATGAAATTCAACTCGTGACTCAGCTCATAAATGTGTCAAGGGATTGACATAAAATGGACATCATGCAAATCGTAAACACAGCCATGACTAATAATAGGAACCAATAGTCAACGATAACTAAATCAAAGGCCAACTGAACCTTTGATTATCTTATCAAGAATCATCAACCGCTTTCGTCGACAAACATTTCTCGTAAGGAGACGGTGAGAAGTGATCACAATAAACAAAATGTCACTCATTATTTAATGAGTTTAGTGAATGAATTCTATATCACTCATTATAGGCCTGGGAAACGTAAACAAATCAACCGTTGGATGGTAAACATAACATTAAATAAACGACTTCGTTGGACTTGTAATATGCCGACCTAATTAGTTTCTAAAATAAAAACATGTTTATTGAGTACTTATCTCCTAATTGTAATGTTCACTAGAAGTTTGCTTATTTTCCATTTCCTGTTTTTAATAGGTACTGTTAGTTGGAACGCTATACAAAACTCAGGCAACCTGAATATTTACACAAGGTCATTGAAATATTTTTTTTTAAGTAAAGTATTCTTCATATGATGAAATATCATCACTCGAACATCATCACGGAAGTTGGCAAAATTTTGCGTGATAGCTATCTATTTTTCATCGATTGTTAAGAATAAACTGTACTTAAGGTACCTAGAATGACAAGAACTCAGATTTCTTACTAACTTGTGGCCTAGACGATATAAATAGCGTTAAGTTCCTGCACAGTTCCCATCTCTTACTATGGATCGCTAGTTCGTTACAGGCTAAAGTGAATTCCGTAAAATATATAATATATCCATACTATATAATAGATATAAACAAATTCAGTAATAATTACTTTTACGGATTTTTCACATTTAATATTTATTCGTTCTTTGTCCCAAATCATAATTTCATATCGAATTATTATTAGAACGAGATGGTACAGATTAAGTGTCATCTGCTCATCTATCAGTGCGTATGTGCACAAAGGTGCGGGGTTGTGCGGTATGGCGGGGTGGGGCGGGGTGTATAAGCGGCTGTGTCTGCCAGGTGGTAGGTCGCGGGCGCGTGCGTAACGGTCGCGGCACGAGCTGGGCCGCGCAGGGGACGTGCTCTATGGCGGAAATACCGATGGACAGGGGCGCTGGGCAGGTGGTGCCGTGGTGCGATACGCTCTCAATGTCGCACAATTGCCGGTTAATTCCTCGCATATATTACACGCGAATACTGAAAATCGAGTGCATCATTTTATATTCAAATGATGTTTTAAATATTTATAAGTATTACATTTTTATGCTTCGGTATGTTTCGGTTGATGTATCCCCCGTGTTTTAAAAGAAAATGATATGGTGACACTATTACATTATTTACTTTTAAATAAATTGTTATACTATATAGGTTGACTTACAAAAAACAAGTTTGACTAACTAAACTTAAATATACTCGTATTATTTGATATATTTTACGGTGATAATATTCCTGATATGTTTCCCGTTGGTGTAGTTTGATACGGTGTTTCTAGGAGTCGATATTCGTACAGTAACAAAAATATAATGAAACGGTTCTTCAATGGAAAAACAACGTTGTTTTTCGAAATTCTCAAAATATATTTATTAATATTTTTGCGATCATAGCTTCAAATGCTTTGTCTAATGTTTTTCAAAATCACATTTAGTACATGAACATTTATAGTAATTATAAACATGAATTTTAATTTAGCGACTTCTAATTACGGTTTTTTTCCCGGTGGTAATCCAGCTGTAATCATGTCATAATTAATACTCACACACGAAACAGATCATGATAATTAATTTTTGGTCACCCATTCAATTATCGGCCCTTGCGAAAGTTGCTTAAAATCGAGCTCCTCTATTTAGCCTTATTAGGCCTCATATTAATTTAATTCTTTTACTTAACCTAACCAACATAATATAAGGTGCTAGACGCGTACGTAGATTTTTTAAGAACTGTAGTTTTCTGTATTGTATATATACACTATTTGTAGTATTTAAGTTTTTTTTTAAATTCCTCACTGAAGTGGATTGTGTAGTCTTTTTAGAAAAAGGTACATAAACCACAAATATAAAGTTATCTTTGAAAATTGAGTAATGTTGTACATTGAAGTTTACGAACTTCAACGAAGCTCTTGGTGTTTTCAATTGTTTATATAAATGTTTTCATAGAATTAATGCTAACTATTAAAGAATATAGCTTTTAAATGATATGATTCGTCTTCTTTAGAATGCGGTGCTGTGTGCTATAATGCTGCGATATAAAGACTTACATTGATAATAATGCTAGACTTCAGTAGCTATATAGATAAGTTTATGGTTACTTTTCAATAAACTCTAATGTCTCAGTATCTATCTATAGAGGCGGAAATAATATCACTTTTTTACTAAAAGAAGGGATCTAAAGTTTGGAATTAATAGATGTAATTAAAAAGAAATAAAAAAATAGCTAAAGCTTCGCAAGTAAAACTATAGAACGGCTGGAGTATTTTTTTTTTAAATATTCATGAAGTTATGAAATGGAAAAATTTAGAGAAGAAATGTAAAAACAACACTTTTCTTTTCCTATACAAACCGGAAAGTACCGTGTCGGCTTTCTTCATTCTTTAATACATACATAATTAATTTTAATAATTTCATAGTTATACTAAGAAATTTACAAAAAATGCATCATTTTGATAATGCTTCTTAACAAATTTTTTAATCATTCGGTATTATTATTCGTCAATAAAAAATATGACGTCCAAGCGGCACACCTGAGTTCACCAGCCGCTATTGTTGTGTATGTGTGTGTTGGTATCGTTGGTATCATTGTTTGTCAGCTTACCTACTACGTACACGCATGAAATGTTACACAAAGCGCAAGCACCCACGAGTAGGACCGACCCGGCATTGTGTTGAATCAGTGCAAAGCTATGCCGGCAGCTGGCAGCTCGTGCAGAATCACATGTCTGTGCTCGAATGCCACATCTGCAAAGAACCATTTCATCTTTTCCAAAACGTCACAAGTGATTCCATCGATTCTCCACTACCAATACAAACCTCGTAGCTTTTAAGACCTTTTCAAACGT